TTGATCGTCTCGCCTTCATCAACTATTATATTAGCAGAGTCATAATGCATTCCTCTCCTGAATGTGACTACAGCGTACTTATCGAGACCGAAGCTCATCTGTATGTATGTCGTCGCTAAATTTTTTACAATATTGAGAGACGTTTTCAGTTTGTTTTGGCTGGGAGATATGAGCTTCAGGTCATCGATATACAGGGTGACTTCGAAGTTGAGTCATTTATTTTAACAGTGTGTAGATCTGATCAAAAGAAATGTTTTTTTCCTTTACCATTTTTCTGGTAAAATTAAAGTAACAAAGTATAGCCCTTTGGAAGTTTGAGTACCGCCCTGTCTCAATAATATCATGTGTTCGTGTTTGGCAACAACGGTTCATCGCATCGGAAACAAAAAAGCGAAAGAATTTGGAACGATGTTTTTACGATTACAATTCAGTTCAGTTATACATACAGTCAGTTTAAGTCGCGTGTGAATAGTGTCTGTGAAACGAAATAAAAAATGGCACATGTTTATGCGGATCGGTTTCCCAATCGAGTGCAACCAACCCCTCGTGCCTTTGTTAATGTAGTGCAACGGGCTCGTGAATCAGGTGACTTAAGACCTCACAGGGGACCTCACGATCAAATACAGGTCCGCACTGAAATACTTGTCGGGAGGATACTTTATAAAACAAGGTAAAATTTTTTTTAATTTTTTTTTTATTTTTACACACATATTTTGGTTTATCTTCCTTCTACAATCATTATCTGAAAATTAATGACTCAACTTCAAAGTCACCCTGTATAGCAAATGGGAGAGACAATCATTTCCTCCTTTAAGTTGGTAACCTAGGTTGGCCTCGTTGAGCAGCGTACTTAAAGGAACCATCGCAATCACAAACAGAAGAGGTGACAAGGTATCACCTTGATATACACCTCTTTTTATCTGTATGGGTCCTAACCCTATTTCTTCCCAATTATTACTGACTAACAGGGTAGTACTCCATAGCGAAATCAATCGCTTACATAGATCAATGATCTTCTCAGATGTTCCTATAAGCTTCAGAGATTTCAGGAGCCAGCTGTCCGGGACGCTGTCGAATGCATTTCTATAATCAATCCATCCAATGCTAAGACTTTTTTGTTCTCTTTACAATCTTCTACAATGGCTTTCGAGAGGAGTAGCTGATCCTTGCAACCAAGCGAGCCCTTGCCACAGCCTTTTTGTTCAGTTCATTATTATTATTATTATTATTATTCCGTTTTCTGTTAGCTATTCTCTGCTACTGCAGGTGGTATCCTCAAACGCGGCAGTATACTGCAAGCATCTGAGTGTGACTATTGGTTTCTCTTTGTCTATGTGGCTACATTCAGGACCTTGAATGCTATATGACAACTACTTAAGATGGCAGCTTTCTGAAGTGAGAGGTATAGTTTCTGCGACAGATTTAGTTTCTCAATATATTTATGTAGACTCTTAGGTATTTCTCCTGTGGCTCCGATCACTATTGGGATGACTTCAACTTTTTCTTGATTCCACAGTGTTTTTACTTCTGCAGCTAGTGGTAGTACTTGCGAACCTTTTCTGTCTGCTTCTCAGCTATGTTATGTGGGGCAGGCACACTAATGTCAATTATGCAGGTTACTTGCTTCATTTTATCTTGAACTACGATATCATTTTTGTTGTACTCCATGGTGTGATCTGTTTGAATTGTTCTATTCCAGTATATTTTATGGCTGTCAGTTTCTATAACTGGAGTCGGCTGGTACTTGTAATATGGGATGCGGTCAGTTAGTATGTTCGCAGCATAACAAATTTCTTGGTGAACTATTTTAGCCACGTTGTCGTGGCGCTTCAGATACTCAGTGGAAGCTAGGGGAGTGCAGCTCGTCAGGATATGCTCTATTGTTTCCGACTTGTTATGACATATACGACATCTATCTTCAATGCCTTCTTCTTTCATGATGTATTTTCTATAGTTTAAGGTTGGTAACACCTGATCTTGAATGCAATCATGAAACCTTCAGTTTCCGAAAATAGCTCCCCACTCTTCAGCCATCCATGTGACGCTGCTGCATTAATGTGATCTGAGCTGAGCATGGCTGGATGTCTTCCATGAAGCTGTTTGGACTTCCATTGATGATACCATTGTTCGTCGGTGGTCACATGGGTTAGAGGTTCATACTGTTCATCCGACAGGTTCAGTGGTGTGAACTTGTAGTCAGCTGAAGCTATATTTCTGTGATATGCAGATGTTTCGCCTTTTCTATCAAAGAATCTCCTGAGGTTTTCTATATTCCGCAGGTTAGCTGCTTTAAGGTCAATCACGCCTCGTCCTCCTTTGGATCTTGGCAAGTAGAATCTTTCGATCGAACTCTTGGGATGTCTTGCTCTATGATTTGTAAATAAGACTCTCTGTTTCTGTTTAGCTGCTCTAAGTCAGAGTCAGTCCACTTGATTATTCCGAAGCTATATGTTATTGTCGGAATAGCATATGTGTTAATGGCCCTTACTTTGTGTATTGCGGACAGATGAGTCTTAAGTATTGATTTGACCCTACTCGTTAATCTTTGCTTTAGAGCTTCTTTCATATCTTTGTGTTTGATACCCCTTGCTTGATCTAATCCCAAATATGTATAGCTCTCTTTCTCAGACATGCTTCTTATTGTCTGACCCTGCTCCAACATAAACCCTGGGGGATCTTCCGATATGCCTTTTCTAATAGCCCCAATCTTACACTTGTCCAGGCCAAACTCCATTCTTGTGTCAGCACTGTATCTCTTAATGGTTTTAAGCAACCTGTCCAGTCCATCCTTAGTGGCAGATATTAGATATTATTATTATTATTATTATTATTATTATTATTATTATTATTATTGTTTATTTTCCACAGCCCTATCTATTCAACTGGTTCTGTCCATGTGGGCCGGTTTTGGTTGTTCATTTTCATTATGGTACTTCGAAGATGTTACCCACATCCTAACGAAGTCCATTACCTTATAGTGTCTTACGTAATATGGTTGCTGTACCATACAAAGCAATCTCCTGCACGTCTGCTGCCCTGTGCCTTCCTGGTATGAGATTTAGGTTTTCACGTAGATTGTCTGGGATCGTCCCTAATGCACCTAAAATTACGGGAACTATCTTCGTCCTCAGATTCCACATTCTTTGGATTTCAATTGAGAGATCTTTGTATTTCAATTTCTTTTCAGCTACTTTGTTTACAACGTTTTCATCGTTGGGGACTGAAACATCTATTAACAGGCAGGTTTTGTCACGTTGGTTTTTGACGATTATGTCTGGGCGGTTCGCGGATATCTCACGATCTGTTTGCACTGGTAAGTCATATATTATGGTAATCTCATCTTTACTAACTACTGGAGTGGGGTTGTGATTATACCATTTTTCTTCCACTGCGATCCCAAAGCTTATACAGATGGCATGATGCAAGTATATGCATATTTTATTATGTCGGACCAAGAACTCGTGCTTCGCCAGTTGAGGACAGCCGGATATAAGATGATCTATTGTTTCTGAGTATTGTTTACATATTCGACATCTATCATTTGCTGTTATTTTGAGGATATGTTTCTCATAATGTCTTGTACGTAAGGCCTGGTCTTGGGCGGCCGTTATCAGGGCCTCTGTTTCACCTTTTACCTTCCCTCTCGTGAGCCACGCAAACGTTTGGCATTCCCTGGCCTCTTAATTCTCTTCACGTATTGAACATGAAGCTGCTTTCGTATCCATTTATCCTTCAAGGTCTTCCTTGTCATGGACTTAATATCTGTAGACAGTATTTCTTCTTCATCCTCGACCGCTTGATTTTCTATTTCCGGTAAATGTGTCTTTACAATTTTTATCGCTGACTTGACTACTGACTTTCCAACTCGAGGGTGCCTTTCACATCTCCAAATTTGTCTAACTAACTTACCATTTCTGCGGCTTCTTAAGTAATTGGCTATGGATACAACTGTATTATCATAAGTCATCTCTAATTGCCTGAGCCCTCTACCTTCTTCTATACGACTCACATGTAGCCTGTCTACATCAGCTCTAGGATGCAGCTGTCCATGAATAGTAAGCATCTTCCTTGTTTTACGATCTAGGTCTGCAATTTCCTTCTGACTCCAATCTATGATTCCAAAACTGTATTCTACTATTGGAACAGCTATACTGTTGATGGCTAGCAGTTTATTTCGTGCTGTTAAGCCTGAACGTAGTACCATCCTAAGCCTTCTTAGATATTCTTTGCTGATGGTCTCTTTCATTTCATCATTACACAATTCTAGGTTTTCATAAACTCCAAGATATTTATAGCTTTCCCCAGCATCTAGGTTTTTGATGGTAATATTTGCCTGGACTGTTATGTTTTCCGTTTTTTCCACTTTTCCGTTCTTTATCGTCGCTTTGGCGCACTTATCTAATCCGAAGTTCATATGAATTGTGCTACTGAAGTCGTGAACTATCTTAATTTGCTCTTCAAGCGCTGTGTCCAAACTCGCGTACAACTTTAAATCATCCATGTACAGAAGATGTGTTGTTGGCTGCTCATCTTTGAGTAGTTTATATCCCAATTTTGGCTTTTGATTTAGCATTCTGGACAGGGGGTACATCATCATGCAGAACAGGAGAGGTGATAGTGAATCTCCTTGGAATATTCCAGATTCGATTTTAATCTGCGGGGTATTATTGACAGGTGCATCCTTAGATTGTATCTTCAGATGGGTGTTCCATTCCTTCATACTTTTTTCACACAGATTGATGATGTTTGGGTCAATTTTAAATATTTTAAGTATTTTCAATATCCACTGGTGTGGTACGCTATCGTAAGCTTTTTGATAATCTATCCAGCAAAATGAGTATTGTAGTATTTGTAGCGTTCATCCCTTTGCATATTGATGATCTCCCCTTGCGACCCTCTTACTTTATACCCTTCATGCTCTGTCCACTTACCTTTAGTCATGCAACTTATGCGGCATTTATCTAAACCAAACGTCATTTGCACATCTTTGCTAAATCTGCTCACACAATCCAACAGCGCATGTAGGTGACCTTCTTCTCTGCAAATAATTTCAGATCATCCATATACCAAAGATGAGATAGTTGTGTACCATCCTCGGCAATCTTTACGCCTTTTTCTTGACTGTTTAACAGCGATGTTAGTGGGCGTAAAGCTAGGCAAAACCATAGCGGGCTTAGAGAGTCGCCCTGAAAGATCCCTCGTTTTATACTGACTTCTCCAGCATCTATCTGCGAGTCTGGGGTGTTAAGACAGAGACGCGTTTTCCATTTGGACATTGCATAGGTCAATAGTTTCACGATATGGTTTTCTATGCCATAAAGGTGTAGCACTTCCGTTAACCATGAATGTGGAATACTATCAAATGCTTTCTGATAATCGATGTATGCAGTGAACAAGGGCGACTTCTTTTTTCTGGCACTACCCGTTATTATTTCATCGATTATCAGTTGTTCTTTACATCCTCTTGAGCCCTTCCGACATCCCTTCTGTTCCTCATCCAATAAGTTGTTACGTTCCAAATGATTATGTACTTTGTCAGCCAATATAGCAGTAAGGAGTTTATACGCTGTAGAAAGGCAAGTAATTGGCCTGTATTTTGCGGGATCAGCAGTATATTGTTCAGTTTTTGGGATCAGGTATGTAACTCCTGTTGTTAGAAATTCTGGGATAGTTTCCGGCCTCTCGAGGAATGTTGAGTAGCATTTCGCAAGTTGTTGGTGGGTGGAAGTAAATGCCTTTATCCAGTAATTGTGAACACCATCTGGCCCTGGAGCTCTCCAATTGGAAGTCCTACCTATTGCTTTCACTACATCATCCTTAGTTATGGTCCAAGACAGCATTGCTTGTATGGAAGTTCTAGCCTTCTCTTGCTGATACCAATGCGCTGTTCTGTGTTCTCTGGGGTTGCTCCATATACCGCTCCAGAAGTGTCTTATGTCTTCTGTGTTAGGAAATGATGTTTTTCCTTGTAGTGTACGATCTGATTCTTTGCCCACAGATTTATAAAATGCTCTCTGATTTCTATGAAATAGGATGTTTTGTTTACGACGTTGGCTGCTCTTCTTATATCTCTTCACTCTTTGAGATAAGGCTAATAGTCTCTGCTTTAGAAGGTCCAAAACTTCGACTATGGTTGGGTTTTCTTCCGATGTATATCGTCGCATTATTGTGTCCCCTTTCTTTTTCACTCTTTGGCTGTATGTCGGTTTTTGGTACTGCGTTAGGATAGCTATATCGCTCCTGATATTATCTATGTTCTTGCTTAGCCTCCTTTCCCAAGCTGGCTGCCTTTTAGTTCCTTTCCGACTTGTAACATCTGTAGGTCTCTGATCGTTTAGCTTTAGAACCGCGAACGCCCCAGCATAGATCATGGCGTGTAGGTCCTTAAAATCTGTTTGGTCGCTAATATCAGCAGCGATAATTCTGTTCATTTCACGTAGGTTTTTAGCTGCCGTTGGGTTGCAAAATAGTTTGGGTAGCCGAGGCTTTTTTGTCGGATCTATACCGTCATAGCTCATTATGATGGCTCTAAATTCCTCCTCCAGCACTGATGGCGAATAGCTTGGCGTTTCAGTCTGAGCGTCATTTGCTTGCTCTTGACTCTGCTGTGCATCATTTACCATGCCCAATTCGGTTGCTACTTCATGCCTAATTGTATCTATTCTCTCCGCTGGCAATCTGCTGATCACAAATATAGATCTGCGCTGGTCTAGGATGTTCTGCAGTGTCTTTTGTCTTAACTGGGGAAATTTTTCTGTCACTAATTTATGCAATTCAGCACCATAAGGTTCCTGTGAAGTTTGCAATTTGGTAATTCTATAGTAGCAGCGAACCACGTTATTTATTATTATTATTATTATTATTATTATTATTATTATTATATTATTATATTATTATTATTATTATTATTATTATTATTATTATTATTATTATTATTATTATATTATTATTATTATTATTATTATTATTATTATTATTATTATTATTATTATTATTATTATTATTATTATTATTATTATTATTATTATTATTATTATTATTATTATTATTATTATTATTATTATTATTATTATTATTATTATTATTATTATTATTATTATTATTATTATTATTATTATTATTATTATTATTATTATTATTATTATTATTATTATTATTATTATTATTATTATTATTATTATTATTATTATTATTATATTATTATTATTATTATTATTATTATTATTATTATTATTATTATTATTATTATTATTATTATTATTATTATTATTATTATATTATTATTATTATTATTATTATTATTATTATTATTATATTATTATTATTATTATTATATTATTCAATCAAACCGCTCAAAAGACGCATTATTACAAAAAAAAGAATGGTTTCATTTGCCAACAGAATCCATAGTATGGCGTCCGACATGAATGTAGATTCTAACTCTGCAGATAACATGGCAAATAGTATCTACCGTTTAATATCAAACTGTATCGATAATTGTTTTCCGTTAAAAGCTGTGGATAAGTCAGCTCACAAGGTTAAGTGGTATACGCAGACACTGAAGCAGCTAAGGAAAGATATGGTGAGCGCAAAGAGCCAGTTTTCGCATAGCGGGGATGAGCGTGATTGGGAGAGGTATAAGGATATACGTAGAATATACCGTCAAAAATTGAAATTGGAAAAAAGGAACTTTTACTTTGAAATGATACACCAGGCGGATAATAAAACTAAAGCAATCTGGAAGATAGTCGATAGCGAGAGAGGCATCAGGAAACAGAAACACACAAACGTCTCAAGTGATGAATTCAATAGTTTTTTCAGTACTATTTCTTGTAAAATTCTTGAGGGCATTGAAAAGCCTACTATTAATTACTTGTATCTCCTCAACCGTACTCCCAAGACACCACATTCGTTCTTCATGTCTGCGATACTCCAAACAGATGTGAGATGTGCTATAGCTCAACTAAAAAACTCACCCTCACTCGACTTCTATGGTATGAACAGTGCTATGTTGAAAATAGCCAGTGAGGATTTCATTGAACCTTTAACAATACTATTTAATAAGTGTGTTAATGAAGGCGTATGGCCTGATGCTTTTAAATTGTCAAAGGTCATTCCCATTCATAAGAAAGGGAATGAAGATAATCTCGATAACTATAGGCCAATCACAATAATTCCATTAATAAGTAAAATATTCGAAATTGTAATCAAAGAAAAATTAATAAAGTACTTTGAAAAGCACTCCCTCCTTTCAGCTTCCCAATTTGGTTTTCGAAAGCACTGTTCAACCATTAAAGCCATTCTTAGTTTTCTTGAGGATGCATTAGAGTGCATTGACAAGAGAACCACCGCTCTAGCAACTATGTGTGACTTAACCAAGGCTTTTGACTGTGTAGACGCAGTTATACTGCTTGACAAATTGGAGTACTATGGGATCCGTGGCAAGCCATCACAGCTTATGAGATCATACTTAGCTAATAGGAGACAGATGGTTAGCCTTGATGGAGTAGAATCCCAGGTTCTACCGATTACGAACGGGGTACCCCAGGGCTCTGTCTTGGGCCCTCTATTATTTTTAATCTACATCAATGACCTCCCACAAAATGTCAACAATAGCAAATGCTACCTTTTTGCAGACGACACTACTCTGCTCTCCAAGGCTACCCAACTTGACGAGGCCCACAGTCTCGACCAGGTTAAGTGGTGGTTCTCGGCAAACAAGCTCAAACTTAATGAAGCAAAAACCAGCAAGCTAAGAATAACATCAGACAAATGGAATGAGACTTCATCATCCGTAAAGTTATTAGGGATCGTTGTGGATAGCCGCTTGACCTGGTCGGAGCATGTGGACCAGGTTTGTACCAAGATTTCCAGACAGATGTTTATCATGCGGCAACTGGCTCAGTGTTTGCACAGACAAACCATGAGAACTGTATACTTTAGCCTCATTCATAGTCATCTGTCGTATGGTATCATCCTCTGGGGTAATTCTGTCAATGCCCAAAAAGCATTTACAATGCAAAAGGCTGCTATACGGATTGTAGCTGGCGTCTCCTACGATCATACGTGCCGCGGTTTGTTCAAAGAGATGCGCATACTGCCGTTAGCATGCCTGCTCATACATGAGACCCTTTTACATGTTCACGCAAACCTGAGTACTTTTTCGATAAGATCAGAGACACACAGCTATAATACAAGATACGCTAATGATATATCATTACCGCAATCTAGGATCGCCATGACACAACACCACAACAGATGAACGGTGTCGCGTTGACAATAACTTTGTAAAGATTTCATAAGCGGTCAAAATTGAGAAGATGGCTAACAAACAGTGCTCTAGGTTTGGCAAAAACGTATTGTAAGAACTGCTTTCGATACTGTAAGGGAATATTTAAGTGCATGTGATCCTAGTGATCAGTGATCATGTGTAGAGCAAGAAGACAGACTCTGTATAAACTTTATCTAGTTTGTGACTTCAAACATATATCTCTATGTATAGGTGGTCAATAAATCGTTATGGTATGGTATGGATTATTATTATTATTATTATTATTATTATTATTATTATATTATTATTATTATTATTATTATTATTATTATTATTATTATTATTATATTATTATTATTATTATTATTATTATTATTATTATTTATTATATTATATATTATTCTTATTATATTATTATTATTATTATTATTATTATTATTATTTATTATTATTATTATTATTATTATTATTATTATTATTATTATTATTTATTATTATATTACTATTATTATTATTATATTATTATTATATTTTTTTTTTTTTTTTTTTTTTTTTCCCACGGCTTCGACTGATGATGTCATTTGCCGTATCCCTCCTCCACATATAGGACATGTCATTGTCACCCAGGGGTTAGATCTGAGTGCATTTTATCACAGGTAATATCAATCATCAATAATATATTTAAAGTCTCAATATATTTAATAGGTGGGTTCTTTTCTCACTTTTCAAGTATCACACAGTGTGTGTCTTGGATACTGAATTATATGTTAAGTACTCATCGAGTAGAGAATAGTAGGTAACTGGCATGTACGTTTATTATGCATTATATGTCACATGGTTTTAGTTATTGGTTTATTTGTATAAGCTATTTTATGGAATATCTTATTCAGGGTTTAATAAGTGTATCATCTTACATGTTTATATTTTCAGGAAAACTTGTATTTCTCTTAAGAAGTTAAGGATGTTTATCATGCTACCGGCGTCATTGCCACAGAGCCCACGTTGTAGGCTGTTAATAATGTCAAACGATTGGCGGACTCTAGAATATGTTGGGCATTCCAAGAATATGTGGTCAATTGTTAGCTGAGTTTGGCAGTTTTCGCATTGCGGTGGATCCAGGCCGCGAATGAGATGCATGTGTGTTATGTTGCAATGGCCTATGCGTAATCGTGTAAGCGTCACCTCTTCTCTTCGTGGTAGTGATGGGAGGTGCCATTTTTTAACTGTAGGTTTGTATCTTTTAAGGGTAGTTTCGCATCCGTTCCATCTCTCTTGCCATACAGACATCAACTTATTCTTCAGAAAATTTTTCAGGTCTTCCGGGTGGACCAGGTTGTTGGCGTTGACAGTATCGGTTGCTGCTTCACGGGCCAATTCGTTAGCCCTTTCATTACCTGGAATCCCTACATGACCTGGAGACCATATAAAGATAACATATTTCCGATCTGATTCCAGTAAGACAAGCCAATGAAGTATTTCTTGAACCAATGGGTCAAAGGAATTTGTGGCAGATATAGATTGAATGGCACTAAAGGAATCGCTGCAGATTAGGTAAGTACCTGCTTCATTGTGGTTATTTATATATTCCAGTGCTTTAAGCAATGCAAGTTGCTCGGCTCTGAAAACCGAGGTCATGGGATGTAGTTTAAATTTTTGCTCGTGTCCCGTTGATGTATAGGCACATCCAACGCTATCAGCTAACTTTGATCCATCAGTATATATAATATTTTTAACGTTTGTGTAACTATTTACAGTGTCATTAAACAATGCAAGAAATAAGGAGCTATTGGTTTCATCCTTCTTGTACCGTGCACACTGCAAGTCCAATACAGGTTTGTTTATTGTCCATGGTGGCGTTGAGCTATGTTTTAGATTATAAACGTCAGGAAGTTCGAGGTCGATGCTATTCAAAATTTCTTGAATCCTTACACCTGAAGGTCGTGTTATGGTAGGTCTGTCCAGGAAGGTTTGGTTGATTGCTTGGTCGTATAGGATGTTGTAGTTGGGATGAGGTGGGTGTGACCAAATCTTTACACTATAATTCATAGTCAACTGCTGGAGCCTTATATCAAGAGGAGGAATACCTGAATCGCAGTATACCGCTGACGAGGGACTTGTTCGAAAAGCTCCGATACATAATCGCAGACATTGGTTATGTATCTGTTCCAAGTGTCGTAGATGAGATTTCCTTGCGGCTCCATAGATGATTAATCCATACTCGATTTTAG